GGTTCTTCCTCAAAATCCCTAAAGGTTTTGTACTTTTACTCTGACTATAAATACCTTGTAACTTGAGGAGTCAGAAGTGGACTCTGAAACTGTAACTCTCTTCTCTTACACAAACTGCGGTGTCATTGGTGACACCCTTTTCAACAATGGCTTCCTGGTAGCAACCAAAGGCTTCTTCACTGCACCACTATCGTCACACAATTCGGAGTCAGACCTTGATTTCACATCTAGCTTATCACTAAACTTGCTAACTGCTTACAGTTCATCTTTGTATGCACTTCTTGAAAACGTGTAAAACACAACCGTGTTTGTCTTGCATCTTGTAACTTATATGCTGAGGATGTACTACGAAACCTGTCACACTCACTAGGTCTATATGCATTACTAGACGCCATAAAGCTTTATCGATATCCACTTCTCTGAGACCATTTCGTCATAAATGATTGAGTTTTGCTCTCGGACTTCTCTATTCTAAGGGTGGGATGCAATGTACAGACAAACTTCCCATAGATTGATTGACACTGTGTTTTACCAGTTTTGGAATATCATCAAACTTTGGCTCAGTACCTTCATCCTCTATGCGAGAGCTTATCTTCACCCACTTCCTTTGCAGTCGAGTAGGTAGGCGTCTCGCTAATACCTCTAGGACGGAACTTGAGTTCAGATCACTCATGCAATTCATCGAAATCAGCGTATTCTTGTGAGTCATCAGATTATCCAAAAACTCAGTGAGTGCCTTGGAGTCATCTCGTAATTGATTATCGTTACCTTTAGCAGCCTCGAATACGTTCCTTACAATCATCAAGGGTCTTCCGAATCTTTTACGCATTATACTCATAGCCTCAGAGTATCCTTCGTTTGGCCTCATTAACTTGCAGCACTGAATAGCTCTTGAAGCAACTCCGCTGCAGTACCTCATCAAATACATCAACTTCATTTCATCATTTAATAAAAACTAATGAACATGATTTCAAACTCCTTTACAAACTGTAAATAGTCAGCTGGGTTTCCGTCGAAACACCGAGGTTCAAATTTGGCCTATTATCCCTAGACCGCTAAGCATGAACAATAGACTCATCATGCTGAGCATCATACATATCATTACAATTAAGAAGGAACTCAGCATTACTTACTTTCCTGCTTGCTTCCAAGATGCATTGTCCCTTCTTTGACCCAGGCATCACTGAACTTGTCCAAAAATTCCAGAAAAGTTCCAGATAATACTTGTCCAAAGAAGACTTTCACGCAGTAGGAAAGACGAACAGAAACTATCCAAACTCTATCAGAAGCTGTCAGCCATCTCTTATAACTGTCAATGTCAAGCTCTTGCTACGCTTGACCTCACGCTGTCCCTCAAAGACTTTCAGAAATAATTTGTATTAACCAACGCCAAAACCAGAACACTGATTGGCGACTCAAGAATCTTTTATTCTTACGCCAACATGTAACACACAATAAGGTTTTCGCACAAGGTGTCTGATCGTTTTTATTTTCCTCTGAACTGCGTACGATATGGCAATTTCTCCGGATTGAATACACCCGCGGAAAAGATGGAGGATTCGGGTTTAAGCAAACAACCATGAGTCGGTCTTTCAATCTTCAACTACATTGACAGGGATAGTTAGTCTTTCAAGGAGCCGTTAAGTAAATCACTCTATTTATGATAAGAGTATAATCAATATTATAACTCTTATTAACAAAGAATACATTAGGCTCAATAATTGAGTGTTATAAGGGAAATAGGCGAGGTAAAGCAAGAGGACACTTACTGCATAAATATTTTAATCATTTTAAGTATTTTAATGGCAATCTAATCTCAAGAATTGAACATGCATAATTACTAAGTATTATTATGTTATTCTAGGAACTGGTGTACTTTCCGTGGTTAAATATTGAAATGTCATTGTTTCACCACTCTACCAGCAGTTGAGATCTTTTAGACGGGTTGGGGTGGGCATGTTAATATGTTTTTCTAGGCTCCTTTTGAAGCTGTCAGGCCTTTCACAGGATCTAATCTCAGAGGTTAGTTGGTTCCAAAGTTTGCAATATCAAGTGGTGGAAAAGTTAGCCTAGTGGTGAGTTTATGGGTGTTAACCTTGAGAAGATAGTCATGGTTGCGTAGTCCATACGATTTAGGATTAGCCCACGTTATGGATGAGTTACCGTTACAGTGCTTTCTTATAACTTTAAATTTGAGAACTAAATTGCACTTCACTCTCCTTAACCATATGGGTTCTAAGTCCATTCGAATACATCTATCTAGGTATTCTATTTGCTGACCATAGCCTAATATGCGTTTCGTGAGGAATCTTTGGACACTTTCAACTTTTTCTGTTTGCTGATTCAAAGCTACTGTACAAGTGGGCACAGTATTCAAGTTTGGGGCGAAAACATACCTTATATATAGCCAATCTGGCTTCTGGAGTGTAAAAGTTGCGTAGCACAAAGCCGGTTAGATATCAGATATCACCTTATTTGCATGTTCGGTAAAGGTAAGATCTGAGTATGTTAATGTGCGTTGACAGAAGCCAACGGTATCTGTAATCCCTTGATCATGGTTTGTTTCTGTTTCTTACCCTCTCTCATTCCCTCTGTTTAGGTTCTCTTCGAGTATGGAGATATTCTTGATCTGAATCGCTTGTTTTCGTATTTCTACCATTGCTTTATGCCTTTTGTGGATAGAAAAGATATAATTGTTTAGGTGATATCTATCGTTACGCCTTGGTTGTATTATTCGTGACTGATTTTTTCGAGCCTTTCATTTAAGTGATCTGCCTTCTATTTAAAACCTTTGATAGTTCGGCGGTTTAGTCTGCAATTTCTCTGTTTTTAATATATGTGTGGTTTCACGCTGGATCATTTCCTGCCATTCCCTCACATCGCTATTTCACTTGCATCTTTTTCTGGGGATTAGTTCATATACACTCGGACACTATGTTGTTCCATGCTGCCGCTATCCACACTATTTTATTCGCCTCATGTAGGTTAATTTATCTGTCAGTCTCTCTTGGGTATCATATGACTGCTTACCACCACCTTCTACGTGAAGCCTAACCTTGATAGAATAGCCACAAAGGAGGGATCTTTGAAATGTCGCAGATCTGCGTAGTAAGGCACCGGACTATGGATTATGACAACACGCTCGCTGTAAACTCCACTACCATCGGAAAAGTTACAGCAAGATCGGTGTCTACAATTAAGCGGCATAAGTCCTTCAGAGATTTTTTATTTTCACTCCTACCATGAGATTTCGATTCAAATTGCCCTAGCTCCTGGTTGTTAGATTCGGCTGTGAAATTCGTATTATATGGAGGATTTCAGCGTGAGCTGACATCTGTTAGAGAACCACTGGAAAACCTGAGAGCACTGGGCAGCTGTTTCGTCCTCGCTTGAGACTCTTCGTCAGTACGCACCTACCAACAGGGTCGAACCCATGACCCACTGGTTACAAGGCGAGCTCGTAGATCATTCATCAGCCACTAAGACCAGATCCAATGTTGCTTGAATTCTAACTTCTGCCAGCTCGTCCTATTTGGGGACTCGGACGAAACAGCTAACCAGTACTCCCAGGTTTTCCAGTGGTTCTCTAAATGATGTCAGCTCATGGTGAAATCCTCCATAAAATCAGGCAAAATCCCTACAAAACCAATACTTGAAAATTCATATTATTTTAGAGTTTAGTGACCCAAATCGGGTACTATCAAAGTGATGTCGAACAAACAGACTGTTGAGCCCGCAATATAAAGTTGCAAATGTGGGTGAAGTACACTAATCACGTTTCAAAATCCATCCAGATCTACTACTTCAGTACTATCTGGATAATTAGCTTATACGAAGGAATAGAGCATGCATATATGCAGGGGTAATGACTTTGAAGAGGTACTCAGAGGCCACTGAGGAATATGAAGTGTTTGCAGGTAATTGTCGTCACTCACAGACATTCACACTACAGTCAAGTCGATGAAACCATTTGCCAAATTCTGTTTGGACTAATATTAGGACACTTATGAGGAACTGAGAAACATCCCTAACACATATAATAGGTCGCTACCCTGTATGAACGTTTGCAATTTATCTTCTAATTCCATAAAACATTTTTTTCAAATGAAGGGTTCTCCCAATGGGCTTGTCTGACGGGTTATTTATAGTCATTCGCTCAGGTCCCTAGGCTTTGCTGCAGCCCACAACATCGAGACCAAATATACCCTATATACCTGCAAACCAAGTTCAAACTTATTAGTTTGAAAAAAGCTGGCACTGGACATACTATATTATGGAAGTATTGTAATTCTCAATAAATGAAAATCATGACAATATTGGACATACGTAATTGAGTTTGTGGGGTTTTTAAGTGCCGAAGGTTACTTGTCACATTTTGATGACCTAATTATTTGTTCATTTGCGGCTTCTTGACGCGACTACCTAGTTTGTTATCTTGAATTTGTGTTTTCTCCTCTTTTACACACAAAGACGTTTTATTCACATTAGGAGGTTTTTCATCCTCAGTCTTTCTTGTTGTCTGGATAACCAAATCCAGTTTTACTTCTAATCTTATAAAACCCTTTTTGTAATCTAATTGTATATAGGGTATTGAATTTTGAGCTACGGGTGTGTAATACATCGGGCCTTGGAGCACATCTCTTGTCAATCAAAAGTCGTCAGGTGTCACTGTAACTCGTGATAAGACTTATATAATTCACCTGGGATTTATCATTTCACATCATTCAGTAAAATCCAGAAAAATATACTCTAGTCATATTCAATAAACATGAATCTTGACGACTACGTTATTTCTGTGGTGCAAATCCCTCCGGGCTACAGTTCTAAAACACTATTAGACACAAACAATCCTCAAGTAGAAAAGTTTCTCAAAAGTTTATGAAGCGTCTTGTTAAAAAACCTGGCACTCTGTTTTCTCGTGTCCTCCCAACTTCAGATGTGAGCTGTGAATCTCTCAATCTTGTGTCAATGACACTGAAACTACCTATATACCATATGCAATGAGAGGTGGTGACTCTTCGTGGTACATACGACAGTTTCCTACTCACAGATTGTCCATTCGTGCGTTTAAAAATGAGAAGTAAGTTCTGTTTGTCAGCTGAGGTGAATTGATTTCCATACGTTGTTTATGTGCTGTCTAAGACTTTTATCATTAGGTGCTTATTTACACTGTAGTTTCAGTTTAATAATAGGAAACAGTATACATATGCCTGTTGTGAATTACAAACATAAGATATCAGGTAATTTACATAAGAAGAGTGTAAGCGTATCGAGACACTTTGAAAGGATAGGATTAATTCTATAAGTGAAGTAAGAATATTTTATCAACATGCTTGTAATAAATTTTCTTGAAGTTACCATAGGTGTGTTCTAATTGCTTACTAGAGCAAAAAGTGAATTGCTGAAGGCGCCGAATGACAAAACTTGAAGTGTACCTCAAAAAAAAACGGCTGAGGGTATGTAGACTTCGTTCTCCCTTTCTAACTGCTCTCATTTGGCCACGCGTTCATAGCCTCTACCAGTCAGGTAAGTCCTGTTCACTGCCTTTATGTGGCTGTGGTCTTACGAAAAAGAGTGAGAGGGTGAATACTAACATTTGGTGCTTATAACCAGACTGTCGGACATTCAGGTCTACCTAGAGGAGTTAGAAAACCCTGATTACAAACCTATGGTGGTATACATGGGCTCCAGAATCCGAACGGTTTCGAATCGTCTATGAACTTGTTCTGGTCACAGTCAACCATGTGAACACCGCTTCACTACCTCGTGGTTCAGAATTTTTGCCAAAGGCTTGGGAGGTTGTGCCTTAAGACGACCAACTGTTTCCGTTTTGGGCTTCTGGGTAGTGTCCTAACACTCGCACAAAAGATTTAGATTTTTGTGCGGTGCACGTCTTGGTGCCTATAGTGTCCTGAGTGTGTTTCCAGATTCAGATTATAAGGACAGAAGGCTCTTGTTGCCTATGTTAATCCTTGCGATATGTATCTCTGTAGAGATCTAGTTTCTTTTTGAAGCCGTTCACCGATGGAGCTGTTACTACTGGATCAGGTAAAGAGTCCAGTCGTTGACCAATGTGTGAGAGAATCTGAATTCCACACGTATTTTATTCGACCTCGGTTTGACCACCTTCTTGTGGTGACCCCGTAAATGTTGCATCCTAGGGGGAGAGAAAAGGTTTTGATAATAATGATAATAATATTGAAATGGGAATGAGAGTGTATCTCTTCAAGTTGCCACTTTTTGTGAATGAGCTCAAGGACAGACAACAGGACAAGAACGACGATTATAAAAAAAAACATATGAAAAGAATTGTTGTAAAGGTGATGAGTGTTGAAAACTTCAGCTGTGACAACAAATGAATACCTATGCACCACTGTGATCGGTTTTGAGCCATCACTAAGAATTTGCACCTTGAAACATTTTGTGTGCTGTGGACATGGCACTGTTATCAGTGCCACCCTTATCTATTTTACTAATGGCACTAATTTAGATGATCTTAAAAATTCAACTTAAATGTATTCAGACTATCATTTTTAAGCGTCTGTTTTTCGTGTCAAAACTTTAGCTAATAAAAATTAAAGTAGAACAGTTGACTCTCGCGTTAGTTGTAAATATAGAGATTTCTGTCATTCTGTCGTTTCTATTTAAAGCTTTTTAGGTGTACATTTTCGCAAGACTGCTTAGTCCATTTATTGGAAAGCTATAATATTCCTTCTGTCGTGAACTATTTGATTTCCTGATATCTATGGTCGGCCTGCAAAATTTGGGCTACCAATATCCATGCTGAAAATTCCATACTTGTACCAAAAATACAGTGTGAATCAAGCTGTAAATAAAAAAAATTAATATGTGATTAATGGTAAATGACTCTTTCTTACTAAGACACCAGCTTGTATACGTGATCAATTATTACCTTGTCATGTACTAATATTATTGATCCGAGTGGGACATATGACTTCAGCTAGCATATCTCCATTTTACCCTATCCTTTGCAGTCTATTTTAGCGGACTCCACGCTGCCCATAGGCCATTTTCTCCTCCTCTCCATAGGATCTCCTGTGCGTCACCCTCGGACACCCGAATCCTTGTTCTCTAATTTTAGGGTTCCACTCGTGAGTCTACTGAACGCGTGGTGTCACGCAACGGTCTCCTCAGCGAACATGTCGAATCCATCTTCATTTCCTCCTGCATATTTGTCGGATGAAAGGTTCTTGGTCGACTTGTTGCCTAAAAGAGTTTCTATTTGCTTACTTCCTCTGACTAGTTATCTAATCTTCAGTATAGAGCGAAGGTAGTTGTCAGTAAAAGTCTACAACATGTTGGCAATGCTCCCCGTGATGTGCCTTAAGTCTTTGACTCATGTAGGAAGCACTAATATGACATCAGTGTTAAGGATCCCTATTTTTTTCCATACTTTGAGAACAACAGATTGCGACACCCTGATTTCAGAGTAATGAATTCCAATCTTGCTTTTCCAGTACTGGCTGGTGTTGACATCTTCTTATCCGCCGTGCTGACTGCCTATAGTTGAAATGATGTTGACTAGATCAGTGAAAGACGGTGTCATGTACTAACTACCTGGATATATTTTTTGTTACTTTCAGATTTTTTTTTTTAAAATCTTCCATATTGTGTCTTATCAAGTAATGTAACCAGTGTACTGTCTTCTTGTTTGTTATGATAATTTTTTTATAGGGATTGTATCATACTGGAGGAAGATAAACCAAAGTCTAGTTCTAAGCCGTCATCAGTAGTAGCACCAGCACCAGCACCACCATCATCATCATTGAAGCGTGCCTTTGTGGATCGTGAACCTAGTCCTCAGTTCATCATCTCCAGTGATGAAGAAGAAGAACATGCCTCACCCCCAGTAGCAAAATCACGAAGAATAGAACTAAATTGACTGATGATGACAGAGTTGAACAATTTTTGAAATTTAATTTTTGATATATATTTTTTGATAAAATGAAGAGAAAATAAATACAATATGCATTTGTATTATAGCTAGTGATCTTTTCTTTTACAAATCTTTATTTGATGGCTGTTATTATTATTATTGCCTTGCGTTCCGAGTGTGGAGCATAGCGCTTCAACAATACATCTCCACTTGTTTCTGTTTTCTGCTGTCTGTCTGTCTGTTTTCGACATAGAACTTTGCACCGATGTGCAGCAGTTCAAGTCACCACACTCCACTCCATGCAGCACACAAAGCAAGAGAAGAAAGTAGAAGAAATGCATAATAGAGACAGTCGAGGAAGGCGATGGCTGGGCATCCATAACACATGTCCTAACCATCTGAGTCTCTGTAACTTCACAGCCTCGTCGATTGATGTCCCCTCCCACCTACCTAGCACTCGACTGAAGCCTAACCAGCTCAATATTGCTTACCTTATTATACTACTTCACACGGGAGATAGAGCGCATACACCTATGAACAAAGATAGGTAGCTATCCGTTTCTTTTCTTTTCCACTCTCAATGGCCAGGTCACATAGCCATAAAGGAGAACGGAGCGGACTGCTGTGAGCAGTACACACGCCCTTTGGTCGATAGCCGGTCGGATATCACATCTACTATGTTAGAGACGGCGTAAACTGGCATATGCGAAACTAGCCCTCTGTATCCGTCCTGAGATTTCGTCAGAGATCAACCCGCTGATGTTGGCTGATGGTACTTCCCAAATAAGTGGAGCGGTCAACGTGCTCTACCACTTCACTCGCTATTTCTAAACTAGGAGTCAGTGTGGTCCAGTCCTGTAACATCATCTTGCATTTAGCGGGAGCGAATCGCATGTAAAACATTTGTAGATTGCAGCTCAAGGTGTTCAGAAGACTCTGCTTTATTTTGTCAGCGTCCTCGCATAGAAGCTGTCCTCTTCAGCTGGCTGGCTGGCTGGCTTCACGATTGTCCATAATCTCTCATCTCCTCCTGCAACTCACACGATTTCCTCCATGTCACCCTTGCACTGACGACTCACTCGTTGCTTTCCATTGGAATTCCACTCGAGCAATGGCCTGCATTGCGCGCGATGTCATTCGACGGTCTCCTCAGTGGCGTATGCCTTATCCATCTCCATTTTCTCCTACATATTTGTTGAGCATTCGGCTTGTTGCCAGCCAGAGTTTCTTGTTACTAGTTCTTTCTGACCATTTGATCTTCGGTAAGGAGCCAACCAGCGAAGTGGGCAGCTGTTGATAATAGTCTGCAACAGGCTGTTGGAAATCCTTTTCGTGACGCACAGTCCAAGTTTCTGACCCGTATAGAAGCTGTGACCGACTTGACATTGGTGTTGAAAATCCGAATCTTATCCTTTAGGATGAGTGTAGAAAATTCCCAAACTGGTTTCATGTTGATGAAGGTGTATCCTGTCTTTCCGATTCTGGTTGGTCGGCTTTGACGTCTTCATCCGTTCCGACTGCCTGTAGTTGAAACAATGCTTCCTAGCCGGATAAGTGAAGGAGGCAATCTCTGTTGAATCTCTCTCTCTCTCTCGTTGATGGTGATTGGTGCTTGCTGGTTGTTGTTGCTGTTGGTGGTGGTGGTGGTGGTGGTGGTGGTGGTGGTGGCTTGTTATCCTCATCATCTCCGTCTCCACCTTCCCTATGTTCACCTGAAGTTCTGTCTTCTCCGCCAGCCTCTTCTGTCAGTTTATTGGTTTTCGCCTGTAAGTTTTCGAGTTTCTGTAACATTAGACCTATATCATCTGACTGAGAAATCCAGATCTTCTGGAGTCTTCTTATCTGTGATCCAGTGTACTCCTGTCTCCTCGCTCCACCCCCCCCACCACAGTCTGACGCATAATCCAGTCCACCACAATTAAGAATATCACCGGTGATAGTAGACAATCAGCTTGTCTTCATTTTGAACGTCTTGCTGAGTTCCCCGTTGTGGATTATCTGACACACGGTAGGCATTGTCATTTAGCCAGCATTTGAATGAGCTTGATAAAGACTTTGGCACTGCCTACCGTAGTGTTGAAGTAGTTACCAAATTATTTCTCGATCAATGCTGTATGTCGAAGGCATTTTCAAATCGATCAATGAAGTTGAGGTAGAGGGAAGTTTGACTGTCATTCTGTGCTTGTTGTTCTGTGATAACGATGTCTAGAGTTGTTATTTGATCAGCACATGATTTACCTTAGGTTGACAGAATACCGGTGGTATAATGAATAGCGATTGCAGGTGAAATGATAATTCGTGTTGTGGCAGGATTAAAACCAGCGACAATCTCTGGCATATAAGACTGACCCGAGTTCGAACACTTCTGTTATTCAGATATCTACTTTACTTTCAATCATAATTTTTGATACGGTCAGGGTAAGCGTGAATAAACTGTCGTCGAAGTGAGTTGATTCACTGATTCAGTAACTGTTTGTTTGTACGAAATTGGTTAGAATTCATTTGCCTGACGACTCACATCATCTTTAGCACAGACGTAATATCCGGCTGGCTATCGATCAAAAGACGTTCTCCCTAAATAGCAGTACGTTTTGTTCTTCATAATGGAAGATATGCAAAAACTAGTTGTCTTCGACTACAGATGCTGTTTGCGTTCTATCTCTTGTGCTAAGTGTTAATATATATATCGTGATTAATATCGAAGTAAGGTGTATACTGTTAGGTAAAGACGGTAAGCCAGCCGATCGATGAAGTTGTAAAGTTCCAACAACTGAAAAGTAAGCTAGGACGCATGCTGCGCATTCTGAGTTATTGCCTTCCACATCCACCAATATTAGGTGACGTAGGGTAAAGTTGGAGAAGAGTTACGCATGGTCAGACTAAGACCTATCACCAGTCCGTGAAATCTTTGACAGTTAGTTTGAGCCGGACTGACTGGTTTTAACATAGAACTTTGCACCGTGATATGCAGCAGTTCGAGTCGCTACACTCCCTCTATGTAGCACAAAAAGCAAGGGAAGAAAGTAAAAAGAAACGCAAAATAGAGACAGTAAACAAAGATATGAGGCAAAAAGAATAGTAATATCGAAGAACAATATAGTTTTATTGGGTATTAGAAGTCACAAGGAGTGGATGCATCTGCGCGAGCCATTGAGAACGATGAGTTTGAGCCATAACACCGATAATTGTCTCCAGCCTTCATTGGCTTTTACTATCCCGAGGATCCCAACCAGTCAGTCAGGAAGTCTACAGCTTCCTACGTGGCTGGCTTAGACTAGCTGTTATGGATTTCGCTATAAGTATAAAACTTGGGTACTGTGGTAGAATATAACTCCATTATGGATACGATTTTATTTTGATAAATCACACAGTGTTATACAGTAATATTGACTGATGACGCCATCAGTTTTATCCCTATATGGTAGTACTGTGAAGGCTTTAAATATCTTAATAATCGTCATAGTGATTCCATCATTTTCATTACTACTCTTATTTCTTATCTGGTGAATTCAGGGCATTCAGCTCCCTCTGAAAAGTCCTTCAAAACCGTCATATGCAAGATCCGATGAAACCTCTCAAGGGAAATGAAATCAAAGCATCCAAGAATAGCTGAGGTACTGACGATCCAAAAGCTCAAGCCCACTACCCTATGTATGTCCAAAAGGAATACGCCTAACCGTTGTCCTTACCATGGCCATCATGATAAGTCAGTCCCACCAATAGTGATTATCAAATTTCTCGTTTATTTCTGTTACTTTTACATTTTCAATTCCTATCGGCATTACTAGATTTGGTTGCTGTTTTAAAAAAAAAATAATAATTTTTATGTGTCCGATCTTCCCGCCTATTTTGTTATTACTAAGTCCTTAATACGTAATTTGTAGAAACAGTCAAGTTTCCAATAATTATGATCTTATTATGTCTTTTCAACTTGTTCTTCCTGACTATTACACTTTGTAATTTTACCAGTCTGAGATTTGACCTGAAATATTTCTAGAATATTACTACTGCTACCTATCTTTTGTTCATTATGCTTAATAATTTAATTATTTAACCTTTGACCAGAGATAATTCTGGAACTTTCTCACATATTTGTTATAAATATTACTAAGTTACAGCCAATTGATGACTTCCATTATGGATAAAATTTGTTCTGATAAAGTTATACACAGTGGTGTTATACAGTAAATTATTTTTATTTTGCTGCTGCTGAGTGGTTATTAGTAGTTTTCCCCGTCGCCAAATTGTTATGTACTCGTCGACAAATTATTGCTATGTACTGGTCGAGAATTTAATAGTCCTGACGCAAGAAGGTGGAAATCAGAAGACCACTAGGTTTGCGATGATACTTCTATTTTCCAAACACAAGGAGAATCAGTAAGTGGTATCACACCACAGTAAGTAAGTCACACAAATTGTGAGAGCGAAATATATATGAATGTTCCAGACAAAGTGTGTGAACAAATCATTAGACAGTCTTAACATGAATGGCTAATTATAATGAAGTATCGATCCATATATACATAGCGAAATATAGCAGACATGTCAACAACCACCATATATGGATATATGTCACCAAGCAACGGACTGTCAACAAACACTCATATTATATATAATATAATATAAGAATATACATTGTTAAAGGAGACAAGTTCATACAAGTGAAATGGTCACAGACTAAGAGAGCAAACAGAAAGAGAGACCAACATACACACACATAAATATATATTTATGTGGATACATATGAGTTATATTTACTGATGACGACCACGTTTCAAGCACAATTTATCATTTTTCATAATCACCATATCAGGGTAATCACTCACACAGCTTTGCAACTGCGTTTATAGGATTCCACTCATCTCTTCATTCGATGATTGGTAGTATTAGTATTTATTTTCCATATTTTTGGTATGAGATAAGAGTCATTCCTATTGCATGTGTTGGGTGTAGATTATTCGATGAAGGAGGACTCACAGTAATCAACCTCTCTCTATCTTCACCTA